TGCACTTGAGAACTCCACCTCCTCAGCCCCCTTCTCCTTGTGCACAGCACACTTGCTCCTCTCCTCAAGCTCTTCGCGTTGCTGTCCCACTGGCCTGAGTGCTTTCCCTTAAGTGTGCATAGAGTTTGCCCCCTTTGTTCCCTTCCCTTCTCAGATATGCCCTCCTCATCTAACACAGCATCCACTCTTTTTTTTAAAGTATTTTATTTATTATTTTTATTTTATGTGTACGAGTGCATTGCCTGCATGTATGTGAGTGCATCTGTGTCATGCAATGCCATGGAGGTCAGAAGAGGGCTTCGGATTCCCCTGGAACTGGAGTTAAGGATGGTTCATAGCCGCCATGTGGGTGCTGGGAATCGAACCTGGGTCCTCTGCAAGAGCAGTCAGTGCTCTTAACCCCTTTCTCCATTTCTCCAGCCGTAGCATCCACTCTTTATCTGGTGTTATTTCTTCGTAGTCCTTATCTATTGTTGAATAATATGTGCTTTTTCACTGTTACTATCTCTCTTGTAAGCGCTGTGAGTTTAGAGATTTGCTTTTCTGTATTCTGAGAGTGTAGTTTATGTTTTCTGTATAGTATGTACTTAGTAAATATATTTGGAATGGTAGAGTTGCATAGAACTCAGGCCTGGAGAGACCTAAAGCAGCACGCCTCTTTTTCAAGGCAGTTTTCTTACGGCTTAGTGTTCATGTCCTGAAGTCATTGTGTCTCTCTTTCCTGATACTTTGTATAAATGCTTCACATCTATACTTACTAGTAGTAATGCACTTACTAGCCACTTCCTGCAGAGATTTCTAGGACTGATAATTTCCAGTGTGTGTGTGTGTGTGTGTTTTCATGTGAGTGTGAGTATACGTGTGCCATGGTGTACTTGTGAAGGCAGAAGAAAACCTCAGATGTTGGTCCTCACCTTCTACCTTGTTTGAGACAGAGTCCCTTTGTTGTTTGACATCTGTAGACCAGGCTAGCTGACGTGCAAGCTTCTGGAGATTCTCCTATCTCTATCTCTCATCTCACCACAGGAGCACTGGGATTACAGACATGCACTACTGCACCTGGCCTTGCAGAGGTTCTAGAGATCTGAACCCAGGTCCTCACACTCGTATGTAAGCACGTATGAATTGAACTGTCTCCCCTGCCCCCGTGTCCACTCTTCACAGTCCAGTGAATGAGCTGGACTACAGCACACAGGTTCCCAGGCCTCAGTTAGAGTCTCTTCATCCAGTAAGCTAAGGTGAGTCCTCAGGGGAGAAGCTTCATTTAAATACTGTGTGGGGCTGGGGATGTGGCTCAGTGGTGGAGTACTCATCTAACATGCACAAGTCCCTGGGTTCAATGCCCAGCGACAACCCCCTTCTCAAATGCTATGAAATACTGCCTGACCTGGTGACATATGCCTGTAATCCCAGCAATTTGGGGGTGGAGGCAGGAAGATCAGGAGTTCAAGGTCTGCCTTGACTACACAAAAAGTTGGAGGCCAGACTGGCTACATGAGACCTTGTCTCAAAACAAAACAACAAACAAACATACAAACAAAACCATCGTAGGTATTCTGAGGCCGTGCGGCTGCTTTTAAAGGCACAGCCATGTAACGGCAGACTCACCCCTGCTTTCTGGAAGCTCTTTTTTTTTGTGTGTGTGTGTGCTGTAGACTCATCTTTAGACTTCAGACAATCTGGACATTCTTGTTAAGTTCTGCCATGGGATTCATGTAGCATAGCTACTGTTCTGGGCCACAGGCAAGACACCACAGAAAGGGGAAGGGAGGTAAGGAGGGGCAGAGTGGCAGTAGGTTGGCACGTGCGCGTCACTATGTCGCTAGGCAACAGCGGAAGTGGAAGCTGAGGGGTTGAGTTTATCCTCAGGCTTTTAGAGGGAAGTTCCCCGCTCTTGTCCTTAGTTTGCATGCATCCATAATCATTTTCTTTTCTAAGACTGTGAGGATCATTTCAATGGCTGTGTCAGAGGACTGCTGAGGGAAGGCACAGGGGAGTGATTGGGAAAATCATGGTCACAAAAACTTCCAAATCCACGCCCATTTATTTAGAGAAAGGCCAGAGGTTCTCAGGAATGCAGATAAATTGACTTCACAGAAAGCAAGAAGCTTGGAGGTACCACTTATGGTTGTGGATTTGGTTGATCAAGTCAAATTATGTATGCAAAACTTAGTAATGTGCCTGGATAGTAATAATCATAATACATGATAGTTATTGATATTAATATATGTGGCATGGTTGAGCAGGGAGTCTGTGCTTTGTTCCAGGTATTTCTCAAATGTATCCAGCATATTCTTAGAAAACAAGGTTTCTACAACGCATGGAAAGACAAAAGAAAAAGAAAACTGCACCGTACTCATCTTTATCACTGTCACACAGGAGTTCATCAGAAACTTCTAACCACTTTCCTGAAGACTGTAATTCAGAAATGTTTAAAATATATCTGGCCAAATGCCTCGTATTTAAAGCTGTGTGCTTGGAAGAAACTTATTCCATATGCTATTAATTACTGTACACAGAATTAAGGGCTTCCAACCAGTTAAAAGCATTTTGAAGATTTATTTTCCTTTAGAAATTGAAGTTGCTTTGGGTTTACTTTTGAATTGAAACTCTAACCATGTCAGCTCTCTTCCATCAGGGTGCTGTGTGAATCTGTTGTTTTGATTACCATGCATCCCTAATCATTAGCATGAGGTCTGGCAAATAGTGAGCACCCTGTATTCATGGGATGAACGAAGCATTAGATGACTCTCCTGTTAGTGATCTTCGTATTCCTGCTCACAGATCCCGACTTTCAAAAGGCTGTTTTCCTTCTTAATAAAGTAGATTCAGTATAGTGGGTTTGCTAGTTTCCTAAGACGGCTCCACTGAAGTAGATAAAACAATAGAAATTTATTCTTTCTTCATTCTAAAAGCCAGAAATCTAAAACTAAGGTGTTTCAGGACTGTGTTCCCTCTTAGGGCTCTGGATGGGAATCTTCCTTGCCTCTTCTAACTTCTGGTGGCCTGGTGTTCTTTAGTTTGTGGCTGCATAATACCAGTCTCTGCCTCTGTCTTCTCACTGCGTCCCCCTCTCTGTGTCTTTGGCTTTTCTGTCACTTATAAGGACAGGCCCCAAGGGAGTACTGTTGGATGGAAGTTTTTGAATCCTTACTTCCATCTGGAATGCTCCTTTTGTAAAGGAGGCCAAACTCACAGTTCTGTGACATGCACGTACCTTTTGCCGTGCCACCATTCAGCTCTCCTGTGCTCCTGTTTATAGAGATGGGGCCCTCATTTCTCTGGTTACTGTCTTCACTATACCTCTGTACTTAGGTTTTATAAAATTTGTGTAGCTAAGAAGGTTAAGTGTCTTGTGTCTAGGTGGTTTGTGTCTTTTTCTAATTTAGAATAAACCATGGGAGGAAAACAAATCAACATTTCACCTTCAGATGGGAAATGTTGAAAAGTGGTGAACAGGGAGAGGAAGTTGAGTAAATGCTTCAGAAGTAATGGTACACCCAAACTGATGATGTCTGCATGATGTATTAGGGACGGGGACTTGATACACAGTGATTTGAGTGATGACACATGCAAAATAGTGGTGGTTATGATGGTATGATGGGGAAATTTCAAAACAATCTCAGTGTTTTGCCCTTTGAGAGGCAATGGCTGTTTGTACCGAGAATTGATAAGTCATAAAGACAAAGCCAGAGACTCCTGGGACCAGCAGCTTGAAATGAAAGCCCTATGAAGAATTCTAGTCAGGAAGGAGACCCTGAGTAGATTTTGGCTTCTCCATTGAAACCATCTGTATTCGATTTGGCAGTAGTAAAATGCAAGGTTTTGGAATGCACAAATATCAAAGGAAATAGTACACCGGTGCTAAGTTATTTTGGTATTAAATAAGGAGCCAGTGAGAATGCAGTCAAAATTATTGTCATTCTGGTGAGCATCTCATTCAGAGGAAACTGGAGAAATTGAAAATGTTCAACAGGTTGCCGGCAACGGAAATGACCTTTTCTTTTGAGCCAAGCGAGAATGAAAATTTTGCTGAAAAATGAGTCAGTGTTGACTAAGTGAAAGACTTCTTGGAGTAAAGGGAGAAGCCATGGAGAAAAAGCATCTACAGTTGGGAAGAACGTACTGAATTGGTTAGAAATAGAGTTTTGGCACCACAGGAGGACCTTGATGAACAGCACAGTAGACTGGTGAGGAGCCTGGCAATAATTAGAGTTCTTTTTGCTCTAAGGCATAGTCATTGCCATATTCTAATACATTATGAAAGATGAAATAAAAGTTTATAACATCCAGTGGCAGACAAGTCATACAAAAACATATTGGTAAAAATGGAAAGCATTTTCACTGAGGTGGAGAGATTTTAACCTTGATTATTTAACTTGGAGAGTTTTAAGCTGAACGTATATTTGGGATCTCAGGGGAAAATTGGGAGCCTGTCTCTTCTTGCCACTAGACGTTTACTTTGGTGTATTCGTTGCTATATTCAGGTAATGGATACCACACTGTAAAGACATATAAAGATGTTGGGGATTTATACAGAAATGAAGTCTATACTTGCTATCTGACTATCTATCCATGCGCCAGGAAAAGAACTTCTACCCATTAATACTGTGTATCCCAAAGTGCCTGAGATAAAACTGCCTTTACAGCGCCAGTGTTTGCTTGTGCCATTCAGAGTCAGGCTCCCCCTGTGCTGGTCTGTTTTTGTTGTCAACTTGATACAACCTAAAGTCACCTGGGAAGAGGGCACCTCAACTGAAGAATGGCCAATATCAGATTGGCCCATGGGCATGTCTGTTGGGCACTATCTTAATTGTTAATTGACGTAAGAGGACCCAGCCCACTGTGGGCAGTGACATCCCTCAGTAGGTGGTTCTTGGCTATATAAGAAAGTTGAGCATGAGGCAGAGAGCAAGTGAGCTCTTAAGTAGCCTTCCTGCCTGGTTTTGCTCCAGTTCTTTGTTGCATTCCTGCCCCAACTTCCCCCAGTGATGAACTCCCACTGTCTGAAGGTGACTGACAATTGCTAAATTAGTCACGCTGCTAATTTACCGCTAAAGATTTGTTTAGCACATCAGAAATAACTTTTTTTCTTCATGTAAAGAAAAAAGACAATGAAATGTGCACCAAACATGGATATTTTTAAGGCTTATTTGGAATTTAATATTTAAATTTATTTATTATTTTTATTTTATGTGTATGAATGTATTTCTTGCATATATGTGAGCACACCCGTGTCGTGCAATGCTGTGGAGGTCAGCTGAAGAAGGTGTCAGATTCCCTGGAAACGGAGTTAAGGACAGTTTGTAGCCACCATGTGGGTGCTGGGAATCGAACCCGAGTCCTCTGCAAGAACAATCAGTGCTCTTAACTGCTGAGCCATCTCTCCAGCTCTGGAATTTAATATTTAAAAATAAACTTTATATACAGCGTAAAATTCAAGAAGCTGACCTTTGATAACAAACATATAGTCATCTTATTACTTAGATGACTTTTTCAGTTTTAATTAGTCATGTAGGAATATGTTTTCAACATCCCTACAGGAGATAAACCAATTCATTCTTCTGTGGCTCTTTTCTTTCTCACTTTCCTGTCATCTGCTTTCCAATGTGCTTTAAGCCCTTGTTCACAAATTCTCAGACTCCTAGAGCAGTGGCTCATCAAGGAGTCTGCACAGAGCTTTGAGAAGCTGCATATTCAATTGGGGACTAGGAAGAACTTATGTTTATTTTTATGTAAAACGATCAGAGAAAGTAAGCTTTACTAATACGCCATTCAACAACACTTGTATATATTTTATAAATAAATATACATGTAATGTGTATGCATTTTAGGAAATCACATAAAAGCTTTAAAAAAATTTCCTCATACTTTTTCACATGAAAGTTTTGGCTTTAAAACTTTTTTTAAAGTAGTAAATAACAGACCCAATAATGCCTCAGATCTTTGAACTTGTTTGTTTTTTGTTGTTACGAATATTTTTCTTCCTGAAAATTTTCATTTTTCATGTATATGACATCAAGTAAGTGCACTCCAGTTGTGGGTGTCTGGAGCTGGCTATCAGAGCTTCTGCAGATCTGGGCTGCAAGTGTTCTCAAGCTCTTGGGCTTCGACGGCCCGTTTCCCTCTGACAATGCTGCTGGAGCCTTGCACGCTGCAGCAATGGCCGCCTTTTACTGTCACATCTGTTTTGAAGACTTGGTCTATTATACTCCTTTCTTTTCCTTTATGGTTTTTTTTTTTTTTTTCCTTTTTGCCTAATTACCACATTAAAACACACAGACATTTGAAATTTCCTCTTTGAGTGCAGTGGTTTATCCGAGCTAAAAAGTAGCAACTTGTCAAATTTTAGTTTTGGCAGGAGGTTCTTATTTCGTGGGCATTTTTTTTTCTTTTGTGGTAGAGGGGACATGGTTTAGTGTTCAAGGTAAGACAAAATTGCTTTGAGTTAGGAGGGGTCCTCTCCTGTCACTTCCTGGGTATTTCTACCCTGGTACCTTGTCACTGTGCTGCAGTCTGCTAACCTTTGTTTATGTTTTAGGGATCTTTTAAGCCCATTTAAAGTAAAACATTTATTAATTATCAAAAAGATAACAGCAGTGAGTTGGGGATCCAGCACAGACAGTAAATTGCTTGCCATGAAACAGGTGGACTGGAGGTTGAGCTCCAACACCCACGTGAAAAACCAGATAAGGTGGCTGTACATGTGTAATCTCAGCCCTAGGGATGTGGAGACAAGTGGATTTCCAGGGCTTGCTGGACAGCCAGCCTACTCTAATCCAGGAGACCTAGGTGAGAAAGCCTGACTTTTTATTTATTTTATTATTTTTATTTTGTGTATATGAATGTATTGCCTGCATGTAGGTAGGCCCACCCACGTTGTGCAGTGCCCGAGGAGGTCAGAGGAGGGTGTCAGATCCCCTGGAATGGAGTTATGGAGGGTTGTTAGTTGCCTTGTGGGTGCTGGGAATTGAGCCTGGGTCCTCTGCAAGAGGTGCTTTAACCACTGAGCGATTTCTCCAGCCTGAGAGAGCCTGCCTTAACCACCAAGGAGAACACCCCTGAAAAACAATGTTCTAGGTTGACCTCAGGCCACAACACATATGTATATACATTTCTATGTACACATGTGCACATATACATACAACATGTGCACACACAAGATAGCAGTGATGTGCTCACAGCGTTGGCATTTTTCTATCTTTTCTACCCTTGTAACAATATTTCCTGCTATTACAGCTTTCTTAGTTTTTCTTTGAAGAAGAAAACTCTGTGTTTGAATCTTTAATTTGTCCTTTCTTCAATTAAAAATAATTGATGAGCACATGCTGCATTCTAGGCACTAGGCTAAGGTGCAGAACATGAAGCAATCATTAAAATACACCCATGGATCTGGTAGTCTGTTAGGCAATTTAGATAATAAAGAAGTGATTCACTTTAAATGAGTATTGCAAAACTCAAGATGTTGCATGTCTCTTAAAAATTGTTTTGAAAAGGAATTCTGTAATCATATTTCCAGTGCATGGGAGCAGAGGAGGTTGTTGGGACACTTTGGTCCTTCCCGTCTGTCCACCTGCTTCTGTTTACCACGGCAACATGGGTGGTGATGGAGACCAACAGAAGTCTTGCCACTTCCTTGTAGTTCTTCCTGTCTGCTTTGTGAACAGAGGGAACTAAATGTGAGGGTCATTTTCAGATTATTTCGATGCAGTCTTTGTGTGTGCCCTTGATTTTTTTCAAGGGGGTGTGAGCATATTGGCCTCTTTTTCATGGTTGTGACCACAAAAGTTTCTCCCATCGCTTCTTTTTGCCACTTGTCTTGACCAAGTTCAGTAATGAATGGAAGGTGATTTGGATGGGTAAGTTCTATATATGGTTTTGGGTTTGAGAAAAATAATAGAAAATTAAAATTTGGTAGTTTCTGAACTCACATGGTGCTGGATGTTGTATCTAATATAAATATTGATCCTGTCCTGGCCTTTCTTGGGTCTAGGCCCCTTCCTGTTGCAGCTGCCCGAGAGTGCCTGAATAGCAGGGTGAGTTGCCAGGATCCTGTCCTTCACCCTCTGGGATCACCATGCCCCTGCTCTCCAGGGCTCACATAAGTCTCAGTTTAGCTGGTCAGAATGTGTTCACTTAATCCTCATCATCCTGACTTGGGCCTAGGCCCCTGTGCCCTGCTGGAGAACTCCCCACTCACAGGACTACAACTACCAGGTCCCTCTAAATAAAATACCAAAAGTGGAAACATGAAGCACAGAACAACTAACTATTCATACCTGCTCAGAAAGCAAGGAAGCTACATCAACAATAAAAACAAAACCAAATTTCAACTCAACAAAGGCAGGTTAGAATTCAACGATTTTAAAGGACACATAAACAACTCAAAGGGGACAGGAATAAACTCCCGGCTGAAGCTCAAGAAAATACAATAAATCCCAAAAGACAGTTCAGGACCTGAAAAGTGAATTCATGACCAAAAAGATGGAAATGCCAAAGAAAACTCAGGCTGAAAGGAAGATGGAATTGATAGACTCAACAAACCAATTTGATATGGCAGGAAAAAGCCTCACGAATAGAATGAATCAAATGGAAAACAGAACATCAAGACCAAATGATAAAGTTGAAGCTTTGGACTGCTCAAGCAGAGAATATGGAAAATTAAAAAAAACAGGAATGAAATATGCAGGAAATATGGGACACCATGACAAGACCAAATCTATGTATCATGGTCATAGGGAAAGGAGAAGAATCTTGGGTCAATGGCACTGACCAGGCCTTCAACAGGATTGTAGAAGAAAGAGTCCCTAAATTAAGGAAAGACATACCCATACAAGAAGCACACAGAACACCAAATATACAGGATCAGAACAGAAAGATACCATGCTATATGACAATAAAACAATTAAATTTACAGAACAAAGATGGTACTGAAAGCTACAAGGGAAAACAAGTTACATAAAAAACCCATTAGAATTACAACTGACTTTTCAGTGTGAACTACAAAATCCAGAAGAATCTGGAGCAAAGTATTCCAAGTCCTAAATGATCGTATATAGCAATCCAGAATACTTCATCCAGCAAAACTGTTGATTATAGTCAAAGGGGAAAGAACAATCTTCCATGATACAAATAGACTGAAAAAATTCATGTCACCAAACCGGTCCTACAGAGAACACACAAAGCAATACAAAGGACTGAACCCAAGAGGCCACAGAAAGAAAATAAATGAAGGTCTAATTACAGACACAAAAAATAGGACCAAGAACACAAACAGAAAACAAAATGACAATAACCAATACACATCTTTCAATAGTAACTTAAATAATCAATAGCCTCAACTCCCCAGTAAAAAATACAAACTAGTTGAATGGATTAAGAAACAAAATCCAAGCCGGGCATGGTGGTGCAAGCCTTTAATCTCAGCACTCAGGAGGCAGAGGCAGGCAGATCTCTGTGAGTTCAAGACCAGCTTAGTCTAGTGACATAGTGAGTTGCCAGGCCAGCTGGGGCTATAGAGAGACCCCTTCTCAAAAAGACAAAAAAAATCCTTTTTTTTTGTTGTCTACATGAAACTCATCTTACCTTCAAGGACAGGCACCACCTAGCCTTGAAAGGTGAAATGATGGAAAAAATATTACAAGGAAATGGCACTAAGAAACAAGCAGGTATTGTGATTCTAGTAACTGACAAAAAAGATGTCAAAATCAATCAGAAGTGATAAGGAAGGTCACTTTACTCTGCTCAAGGGAACAGTCAATCAAGATGACATTATAATTATGAGAATATATGCACCAAACTCTGGTGCACCCCATTTCATAAAAACAGTACGACTGGACTTCAAGATGCAGGTTAACCCCAACTCAGTAGTAGTAGGTGACTTCAATACCCCACTCTCTCCAATAGACAACTGGACAAAGAATAAACAGAAAAATATTTGAATTAAAAGGTATCATACATCAAATGGGCTTAACAGATATCTACAGAAGAGTCTACCCAAGCACCAAAGAATCCACATTCTATTCAACATGCCATGGAAATTTCTCTAAAATAGATGACATACTGGGGCACAAAACAAACCCCCTAAATAGAAAAAAAGAAGTAATTTAATGTATTCTCTTGGACCA